GGGTTCGTTGCTCTGAGGTCAATATCGGCCTTAACAGCCCTGGGGCTCGGCGTTTGCTGGGTTTGTCCTGTCGGCATCGCTGGGCTTTATGGGCCGCGGTTGGGGACGGTGATGTCCGTGGAGGCTGGCTGTGTGGGGAGGAGGATGTGGCTCGGTCCGAGTGGCCGCGTTGGCCTTGGTTTAACCGTCGGTGCTGTTTTCTGTGGAGGGGGGACCATCGGGCTAAGCCTGCGGGTGAAAGTAGGTCGTGCTTGGGCCGATTTCTTTAACGAAGTCATTAGGCTTTTCTGTTGTGCCAGGCGGCGGTTGTAGCCGGTATGGGCAGGAGGGGGCAACAGGGAACCGCCTCCCCACGCTCCGGAGCAGAAGTGCGGGATCCCCGGCCACCTCGCCGGGCACTGCCCGGTGCTGCGTCTGCCGCCGTCCGTAGAGGGTGCAGGCTTTGGAGGCAGGAGACATACCCGGGCTAGTCCCAGGGATGTGGTTAGGAGACCAGTAACGTGGAAGAACCCAAGCTAGTACGTGAAAGGTCTGCAGAGCTTTGTGACAGTACCCGGGTCTTCAGTATTTGTTTGGTTAGGTGTTTTCTTTCCATAAAGTCCTATAAATGAGCAAGGGGAACTCTCGACATTGCTGGTTATCAAGGAAGGGGGCTCCCTCCTGCTCTGCTGCAGTGGTGCCTGGGACATCAGGTACCGTGAAGCACAGCTTGGGCAGAGCCTGCTGTGAAGCCCATCGGGAGGGACCCCACTGAGCAGTTGTGGGTGGTGACCAGTCTGCCAGCACGCAGCGAAGCCGGGATTCTTGGGTTTTATAAGAAGTCTGCTTGTACCCCAAAGTTACTACCTGTGTTTTGCCAGCAGTGACTCATTTGTCCTGCTTGGTGAAAGGCTGTGGCAGCAGGGAATTTCACAAAATCCCATGAGAGAATGCTGAGAAATCTACTGTCCCTCATACTGCTCTTTTTGTCGTCCAGAAATGGCGCCTCGTAAGGGCAAGGAGAAGAAGGAAGAACAGGTCATCAGCCTGGGACCTCAGGTTGCTGAAGGAGAAAACGTTTTCGGCGTCTGCCATATCTTTGCTTCCTTCAATGACACTTTTGTCCACGTGACTGACCTCTCTGGCAAGTGAGTATCGAAGGCCCATCGCCTCCCTGCAGCACCTGGCTGCTTCGGGTTTGAAAACCGAAATCAGGTTTGGCTCGGGGCTCCACCAAAGTCCTTGAGCTTGTGAGCTGTAAGGTAAGGTGTTGTGTGTGGGTGAACACGGACAGGGTGGCTTGGTGCGCACCCGTGTGAGGAATATTGTGCTCAGGGTACTGGGTGGCAGCTCGTTCATCCCGTAACACTCAAAATAACAGGCTCTGCCTGTCACCAGGGACTGGTTTGGGGAGGGGGCAAGACTTTTTTCTGAGCGTCAGCTTTCCCTTTTCCAGGGAAACCATCTGCCGCGTGACTGGCGGCATGAAGGTGAAGGCGGACAGAGACGAGTCGTCCCCCTACGCGGCGATGCTGGCGGCCCAGGACGTGGCCCAGAGGTGCAAGGAGCTGGGCATCACTGCCCTGCACATCAAGCTGCGCGCCACCGGTGGGAACAGGTGCGTTGGAGGGGCTGGGCCCGGCATTCCGGGGGACATGTCCAGGCTTAGAACAGCGCCAGCTTGCACCTCGTGAGGGGGGTGGGGTGGGTGCGCCCCGTGAGCTTGACTTTAGGCTTGATCCAGAGGCTGTCGGTCACGTCGCTTGTGAGCTGAGTTCAGCTTCCGATTCGCTTAAGGGATTGTTGGTTCTGACTCTCCCTTCCAGGACCAAGACGCCTGGACCTGGCGCCCAGTCAGCCCTGCGAGCCCTGGCCCGATCTGGGATGAAGATCGGCCGCATCGGTGAGCGATGGGGGAGGCGAGAGCGAGGCGCCTGTGGCCTGCTCTGTCGGTGCTGCTTGAAAACCAAAACGGTTTTGAGGGATTATTCAGTAACAGGAGCTTTGTCGCCGTACGTGCCTCTTGGTGCGGTGGTTTGACTGCGGGGTGTTCTTGGCCTCTGTCAGGCAGCCCCGGGGGTGTGATGTAAACAGGCTCAAACTGACGGCTCCCCAGGAGGGGGCATGAGCAGGCTGGAGAAACCCGGTTGGTGTCTGCGCCGTGAGCCCCAGCTGCGCAGCGGGAACAGCGCTCGTGCCAGAGCTGTTCGGTCACCCAGAAGTACCGTGCTGGTCTCGGTGATAACAGAGTTCCTCCAGCTCTTTGGGGGAGAGCCCCAAACTCTGTAGGGGAGTCACAAGAAGCAGCGGTGTTGGCTGCTCCGAAAGTGACATCAATCACCCTCCGTCTCTTCGGAAACGCTGCGGCTGCTTGGTTAAGTGGGGTGGGAGGTGGGGAGTTTTCCTTCCTAAGCCTTAAATCCCTGGGTACCAGCCCCTGGCGAGGTCACAAACACCTTTGCTCCCCTGGAGCGTTTGTTCTCCAGCCGTGGGACGTCGGGGTGACTGCTGGCGTTGGGTGGTGGCTGCGCCTGGTTGGTTTCTCGGGTACCTCTGGAAGGTAACGGTGTGTTTTGGGTTTTCTCCTCCCTGCAGAGGATGTCACCCCCATCCCCTCGGACAGCACGCGCAGAAAGGGTGGTCGCCGTGGACGTCGTCTGTAGACAGCGCTGCACCTCTGGCTATTAAAGCTCTTTTAAACCCTTCTCAGCTGCCTGGTTTCTTACTGGGGTTCGCTCGGGAGCTGAGCGGCTTCGGTTTAACTGCATCCACGAACAGCTCGTGCTCGAAGGTGGGCGGCTGGGCTGGGCTGGGGTGGGTAGTCCTGCTGCGGCAGGGGGGCGCTTGGAATATACAGGGGAAGAACTTCCAAAAGGAATTACAGCTCGCTCAGCGGCTCCCTTTGTGTACTTGCACTGCCAGAGGTATTTCAGAAAAAGGACTCCTCGCTTCTCAGTCGCGCCCTGCTTCCTGCACTGATGTTTGCCCGCCAGGGGCTGGGCTGCCATCACCCGCAGTAAATGCCCGTTTCCACCCTTGCCAGTGTTCTGCTCCTGCCTGTCCAGGCTTTCAAACGGCTCCTGAGCCTGTCGCTTCCTCGGCCCTACCAGGATTTTAGACCAAGAGGGGATCCACAGGCACGGGATCCCTGATGTGTAGTTCCGAGATAGGTGCGTTCTGTACACTCGTGGTGCCGAGCTGCTTGGTGCTCGTGGTTAAGATAATTCTGGCTTCTGCAGCTGGAGGGAGAGGGGTCCCACTGTCACGCTTCCCCCTGGGGGGTGGCAAGGTCAGCCCTCGCCCAGCGCGGTGCCTGTTCTGAGGGGTCTGTCCTGCCGTCTCCCCGCGGCGCGGCGGGGAGGCTCCCTGTTTTTTTCTGCTGCTGCTGCGCCGCCTCGGTTGCAGTCGTGCAGCGCTCGGCGGGGCTCTTGGCAGCGAGTGAGATCCCTGGAGCTGTGAAATGTTTGTCCAGGAGCTCCCGTGGCCTGGTTGGAGTGATGGTGTCAGGATGGGCTGGAAAACCTCAGGATTCTTCATGCGGTTGTGCGGCGGAGACGTCTTACCCGTGACGGTGCGTGACCCCTAAAATGAAGCTGGAAGGCGGTGTTCTGGTGTGTGGGGCTCTTGGGCAAGGTCTGCTTGCAGATGCTGAGGCTTGAGAACCTCACTGCTCTCGCGTGGGCTCTTCTCTTCCCCCCCACCTTTGCATTTTGAAACACTTCACGGGGGTTCCTTCACCTGCCCCCTCCTCCTGAGCCCCCCTCCCCTCACGGGAAAGGAGGCGGAGGCTGATGGTGGCGTTGGAGGTGCTCCGCGCTCAAAGCAGCCTCTGTTCTGAAGTTCCTCAGCCTGGATTGAATCCAGGGCATGTTGCTCCTGTCGGGCTCGGTCTTCAGTTGCCGAGCCCTCGCTCTTGCGCGGTGAAAGGGGATGAGTTTCGCAGCGGAGGCAACCGGCCTGTCTGATGTGAAGCCAGGGTGCGTCTCGCTCTTCGTGGTGAAAACTGCTTGGATGCTTGTGGTTTCGAAGTGAGTCACGATCTCTTGGAGGCGTTCTCACTGTGGAAAAGAAAGCTGGGCTTGTGAGCGAGCTCACTGCTGCTGGGTTTTCTGCAAACTGTTGCTTAATGCATGACTTCCCCTTTCTCTGGAAAAAAATCTCTGCCTGGACTGATGTGCCTAAGCCAGCATTTCCCTTGGTGCAGCTGGAGTGTTTTATTTGTAATTTTATATGTGACCATGGAAAACTTTAGAATAAACTTCTCTTACTGTCTTAAAAGTGCACTATTTGCAGTTCAAATCGCTGTTTTCCTGTACTTAAAGTGTTCTTTGAACTCTGTGTGGGGAAGGTGCCGAAGACACGAAAACCAGCAGTGGCTCAGCCAACGCGGAGCTGAACTGAGGAGGGAACGGGGCAGGGGAGCGGGATGCTGTTTGCAGGAGGCGAAGGGGTGGTGTAACAGCTCTCCTCGGTGGGTTGTTTTATACGGTGTACAGTGCAACCTGGGGCTGTTACGGTGGGGGTTCCTCCGTCCCAGGTGACGTTAACGTGGCTGCCTCACAGGTTACGCTTGGGGGAAGCTCTCCAGGAATACAAACTCCAGCGCAGGACCTCCGCAGCGGTACGACGTTACCAACCCCGCTCATCTCTGGGTGCATTCGTGATGTTTTCGGCTCGGTTCCCTGCTGCTGTTGCCAGCCCCCACCCCCCAGCGTGGGCTGGTTGAGTCCTGCTGGTTTTAAGGGTGGGTGCGGAAAGGAGAAGGTGTCTGCTCCCAGCAGGTCCGAGGGAACGAGGAGGGAAGCGGCTTTTCATCCAGCTGCCGGATTCCCCCCCGTGCAGCAGGGTCAGGCTGGCACCCGGTGGCGGTGAGCCTTGGGGTGCCGTCGGCCTCGCTCGGCGCTGGACAGGAGGCTGCCGAAGCACCAGCTGGCACCTTCGTGCCTCACCCGAGACAGGAGGAGCTCGGACCTACTGCCCTGCTTGGCGTGTCCTCCGCTGGGGCGGTTTGCTGGGGCTTGCGCAGGTGGCGGGGGCCATGCCGAGGGCAGGAAGGTGGATTTGCTTGATTAGCCCTTAATCTTGGGAAGCAGGAGCCCTACGGGGAGCGCAGGGCTGTCCGGCCGAGCTGCTGTCAGCCCAGCCCGTGCCTTTGCTGCCCTCGCCGTGCTGTGCCAGGGGCAGGGCCTTCCCCGGGCTTGCTGCACAATGGAGGGCAAAAATGGCTTTTCTTTCTGACGTCTTTGAACCAACTTCCCGCGTCGCTGTGAAACCCCCCAGGGGAGAAATGGTGAATGAGGAAGAGAAATCGAAGAGCCAGGCAGGTCCCTGCAGAGAGCCGGCTGCCCGGCACGCATCCTGGGGCTGTCTGGAGGGAAAGACTCTCCTGGCTGAGCAGTGTGGATGGATTTCATGGCTCTTGCCAGTTCCTGCCTTGTCTTGAGTGATTCAGCAAGGAACTGCATTACCTGCAGCCCCCCTGCAGCTGGGTGATGGGTCCCCAGCCGTGTGGGTGGGGGACACGTGTGGCTGCCCACCCTGTGTCTCCCCAGCGGGGTTGCTTGTCCCACGGAGGGCAGGGGGCTGGTCGGGGGCTGCAGTGCATCCCCAGCCCACAAAGTCCCTGGAGACGGGTCTGCAAACGGCTCAGCTGTTCCCCTCGGGGTCACCTGGGGCTGATCCCCCGGCGCTGCCGAGGGTGTCATGTCATAGACAGTGAGAAACGTGGGTTTGTTCACCGAACTCCAGCCTGTGCAGGGTCTGAGGGCTGCGAGACGGAGGCTTGGCTGGTGATAAATGGCTTCACGCTAATATCTGCGGGGTAATTTCCACCTGTCTGCCTGAAATAATTGCTCTGCAGGCTTGGGTCGAGGCCCCCAGGGAACAGGCAGGTCTGAGCTGAGTCCTGAAACTGCTCCTTACTCCAGATGGCTTCTTTTCCCCCAAAAGGCAGCTGGTTCTCCGGCCTTCTGTGACAGTGCTTGTCAAGTTTTTCATGGGCAGCACGAAACGATGCACAAATACGAAGCCTCGAGGGTGACAGGGTGGTGACAAGCCTGTGCTGGGTCTGGGTGCCAGCCTCAGGCTATGGAAGAAAGAGAGGAAGGAAAATCAGTTTACAGACTTAAAACCCTTTAGAGGCCCCGGCAGCTGGAAGTGGAGGGGGGTGGGGGGGAGTGCTGAAGAAGAAATGCCTGTGTGCGGAGCGAGGGCTGACTTCGTGCTGACGGTTCCCAGCTGGGCTGGGGGCTCAGGGGGCTCAGCCTGCTCCTGGGGGGGAGAGAGGGGCTCTCCTCCACCCCCCCAGTTTATCACCCATGTTTGTGGTTTGCAGGGTCGGGCCCAGCTCCATGAAACTGGGGGGGTTTCACTCACCGAGTTCCTGTTCAGACTTTCCTCAGTTCCCCTTAGGGCTGAGGCTGGTCACGGAATGCGCCCAGAGCCCAGCCCCAGGGCGAGGGGCTTGTGGTCCCAGCGAGGAGCTGCGAGAAAAACCTGTGTCCCCCCCAAACCCCCCTCCAGTGCCACCGTGGGCTGAGAGCAGGGGAAGAGACAAAAAATTTATGGAAGGGTTCTATGTGCTTTTTTCTTTTTTCCTCGCAGTTTTTTGTGGTTTTTTTTTTTGTTTGTTTTTTTGTTTTTTGTTTTTTTTTAACACCTTGGATGGTTTCTGAGTGCAGCATCGCCTAAAAAGCAGCAGACAAGTTATTTCTCTTCAAAATAGCCTCTGGGGGTGAATGCAGGTCGGGGCAGGAGCTGGGGACGCAGGTGGCCTGGGGCAAGGCTGATGGACACCCTTGGGCAGGGGGTCTGTGCAACCCTGGGTGCTCCAGGGCTTTCCCAGCTGGGTCACACCAGCTTGGGGACAGGACCCGGCTCCAACCACCAAAGCCCTTCCCCTGCGTGGGGGGCTGCAATTTCCCACTGGGGAAGCCAGAGCATCATCCCACCAGCGCCTGCTTCTCCTCCAGAAACAGCATCTGCTGGGAGACCCTGCCCTGCTCCTCTGAAATGCTTTTATAGATTATTCCTTAACTCTGCTCTCCCAGCGCATTGCTGGGACAGTGGGATGGCATCGGGACTGACCCGGGAGAAGGGATGGAGTCGCTGAAGAAACCTGCCCATGCTTGCCCTAGCGTTCCCCATTTCTGGCTGTGTGCGGGGAGGTTTGCCTGGTAACCAGTGATGCCTGGGCAGATGCCTTTTGATTTTACACTCAGAGTTTCACTTTTGGCTGAACCCTGGCCACGGTCGTGCTGGGTCCTGGCGCTGGAGCCAGCTCGGTGCTGGGCTCGCCGTGCCCGCCCAGGCCAAGCCCCACGGCACAGCGCGGGCCTCGGGGACGTGTTACCCCCAGGGTCCTTGTATAAAATCACCTAAAATCAGTGTTATGGGGGTGGATGGCTGCTCTCACCGATGTAGTGCTAACGGGGCTGTGGGGTGGGCTGCCCCACTCCCACTGGTGCTTTGGTGGTCACCCACATTGAGGGGCTGCTTCTCCTCTCTCAGTTTTGGGGGTTGAGCTCCCCTAAGCAGCTGCAGGCAGGGCGAGGGCATTGCCACAAGAAGGAGGGAAGGAGGCTTGAAAACACTTGGTGGTCCTTTAATTGTTACCCCCTCAGCCTGAGAAGTGCTGGCCAAGCCCCCCCACCCAGAGACGGGTACAGAGTAACCCTCGAGGTGGGGGTTTGGGCTGAAATGCAGC